TTGTGTGTGTGTGTGTTGGGGTGGGGGGGGGAGTGAGGGGTGAGGTGGTTCTAGATTTCTTGTGTGTGGTTGGTGGGTGCTCTTATGTGCTTTGCTCCTTCTTTCCTATCAAACATCAATCGTCCTGATCTCTCCTCCATCTTTTTTATCTTTGTTACTCTCTTGTAACACTTCTAATTTTCGGCACTTGTATGACCTTATTGTGTTGCAAGTGCCGTAAAACTCTTAATAAAACTAAACATAGATTTCTTATGACTAAAATGCTAACCCAACCCGTCTCTCACGTCAATATTATAAAACTGTTGCATGTTTTTTCTGTTGTAGAGTGTCTTCCTCTCATTTTGGTCTACCCAATTTTCTTTCCGACCGTGACTTCTGTGCTTTCAAAACGAATTGTGTTATTCTTGAATATTTTTGGAACCCCGCTCACAAACAAAATTTATACTCAAAAGACTAGGCCAGCTTTTACTTCTACTTCTATTTGAAACGTTCAGAATAGGTGTTGTGTTGTTTGTTTACTTTAGTTTTTTTACCCCCCTCCCCCACCCACCACCTTTCGACACAAATTGGTTTATTTAGGAGGCAGGCTTCCGATCCTGCCTGTCAATGTAAATCAGAGCTGAGAGGGATACAACATCCGAGCAGAAAGACTAAAATACTCAATAAATAAAATACCTGGATACTCCTGGAGGTGTCATCTCTGACTCAGAGGTTGACGTGTAATGACCCTCCCTCTTTCACAGCCGCGAGCTCCCGTTGCACGTTCTACCATATCCAATCCAGTCCAGTCCAGTCCATGTTCTTATGTTGTCCATCCGTGAATAAAAAGAACAGTGCATAAATAAATAAATACAGTAAGAACAATAATCAACCCTCCCACTCGGGAATCGATCTTAGGTCTCTTGCGTGAGGCAGCGAAGCGTTTAACCGCTACACCACATACTCTTGTGTTCAGCAGTTTGTAGTAGAGACACAGAGACAGAGACAACATAGATGTGGGGAGCGAAGATCATCGAGTGTTTGATTGTTCTTCTCTGCTACCATTACTTCCTCTCATGCATCGGCCTAATTAGCACCAGGTGCTGACATCAAAAGGCCACATACATTACCCCGACAACATTATCGCCGGACTGTGCCAGTAACAGCTCAAGGTGGGAATAGACTCCTCACCGATTTCCCAGATAGTGCGAGCCGGTAGCGAAATACGGCGGTGGTGGTTGTAAGTATGGGAGAAGACACATGTTACATTTATTTAGCGTGACGTCACGGTGGAATGAGGTGCTTGTCAATATTTGGGTTGGGCACAAGTAGTTATTTGTCTACATTTTTGTCTGCCATGTTTTATTTTCCCTGCATCCTCCACTGCAGTAACTAAGGTGTGAAGTGGTATGTTATGATATATAATATATACTTATTAAAGTGAAGTACTATATTAGGGTGCACATTTTTAAGCGTGAAGTCCTATTTAAAGTAAAGTTGTTCCCGCATCCAATCCCGACATTGGGGATTGCCTTGTAAGTGAGACAACTTCTTGGGCTTTTGGCATATTGTGGTCGGGTGGCCAGTTGATTTCCACGCCGCCTTTACTTCCCCAACTCGAAGTCAGGCACCCATTACCCGCTGGGTGGGCAGGAGAGGGGCAGAAAAAAATCCGTGTCCGAACCGGGTCTCGAACCCGGGAAGTCCTATGTATATGGTTTATATTTTATATTTTATAGAAGAGATTTGAAGCCACAAACTAACCTAAACATAT